GGTTGCGCTGCTGAGGGCGTCGGGACCGAGGCGGCGATGTCTGCGGCCGCGCGGTGGGAGGCGGAGACCGCGTCCAGCGCCCTTCCCGCGCGCTCGGCGCCGGGCAGCTCCACACGCCTGCGGGGCTGCGCCTCGGCGGGAGTCGCTGCGCTCGGGCCGCGACGTTTGCCGGGTGTGCTGCCACACTGCCCGCGCCAGCTGACCTTTCCAGTTCCCCGGCGCTTTAGGGAGGAAGTTGGCTTGCTGGAGCTCTACCGTCTCTTGAGAAACCGCCTTTTGCCTTGCCAGAATCGAGCTTCCGCCTACCCAAGCCACGTTCTCGGGGGAATAAAAGTCACCGGAAGCCGAGAGAAAGCCCCCCGAGCCCACCCGAACTCCAGCAGTCACTGGGGTGCAGGCACCTGCGACCCCTGCCCAGGATGAAAGTGTTCTCTCCTTGCACTGAATTCCCTAAAATGGAGATAAGTTACTCTCTGTTTACAGGATAGAAAAATGGAGGCTCCCGTAGTAATTAGGGGGCAAGAAAGCCGAGATCAGTGCCCAATTAAAGTCAGCACCGCGAGATTAGGCACCATATCTGCAGAAGTTGTCTTAATAGAAATGATAGTTGTAGGGATCTATTGGTTTCGGGAGGAAGGGCCGCAGGAACGTGGAAAGACGACAAGACAAAAGCCGGTTTGGGTGCCTGGTTATTGAGATGACCCCCAGCAACAAAAGGGACGTTTATGTATACCTTCCCAAAGTTAGTAACTTGTGGCACAAGGTTGCCTGGCGACTATTTGCTTTAGTCCCTGAGGGCTAGTCCCGCCTCCACACTTTTGACCAATTTTGCTACTTCCAGGACTCCCAAAGGTTGGTGGCACCTGTGTTCAGCGGGGTGGTTCGCTCTCTCACCCATCCTAAAGGGTCACAGCCAGACACAAACAATGACACCTAACATACTTGATGGCAGCTGCATGTGACTAGGCCCTCAGGCTAAAGATGGAGTCTTTACTTGTACGTTTCAGTTCGGTGAAGCGAAGGCAGGCATCGGGAATACGATGGGCAAACTTCAGCAGCCATGGCGAGCCTGGCCTCACCGTGTGGGCTGCCTTCCTCTTTGGCCGGGCGAGGCCCTCTTGGAAACCCTGATGTAGAGATCCACTAGCTGACAGGTAGGTAGAGCGTTTCCTCCTGGCGGGGAAAGGAGGGAAGTCAGACACTTGCAGATTTGAAGGCTGGCTTCTGGGGATGGGGCCTAGTTCCTCGGATGCCTTGGGGAGAGGAATTTGGGGTTCTCTGACTTGCCTCCAGGAAGGAAAGACCTGCTTCAGACCCCAGCTGTTCAGCTTCCCCGTGCTTGCATTTCCTGAAGTAGGTCTTCT